CGCGGACATAGCCTTGCCTCATAAGGTCGGACACTTGTCGCTCCAATTCCTTTGCTTCCTCCGGATTTACTCGATACGCGGGTCGGTTGGGAAGTTGTGCTCCCGGTACAAGATCGATCTGATGCTCGATGCCTCGAATCGGGGGCAGCCCTTTTGGAAGCTCTTCGGGGAATACATCCTCGTACTTTTCCAAAATGGACTTGATCTCATCCGGTACATACGCCTCCTTGGTGCCTACAATTGCATCATCTTTAAAAACCATTAGTAGCATTTGGCAAGTAGGATCACTCAAAGACTTTCTAACCACACTATGATTAATCAAGAAATTCATTTTAGTGCTTGGTTCCTTAGAGAGTTTGGATTGCATTTCATTGACTTGGGATGGAGACAAAGGAGTTAAGCAAATACGCTTGTCATCATGCATAAAAGAATATTGATTTGATCGGCCACAATGGTTGGTTCCCTTATCAAACTGCCATGGTCGTCCCAAAAGAACGTGGCTAGCTTGCATCGGTACTACATCGCATAAGACTTGGTCTTTGTACGGCCCGATAGCAAAAGGAACCGTGACTTGTTCATTGACTTGAATCACGGTCTTATCATTCAACCATTTAAGTTTGTAAGGTTTCGGGTGGTTTGTGGTCGGTAAAGAAAGTTTCTTGACCATATAGGAACTCGCAACATTCGTGCATGAGCCCCCATCGATGACCAAGCCACAAACCTTCCCACTTACAGTGCATCGTGTGTGGAATAGGTTGTCCCGTTGATTGGTATCGTCCGGCTGTTGGCTGGCGCTAAGAATCCGTCGGATGACGAGCAACTCGCCTACTTCGGGCGCAGCGATTGTTTCCTCGATCTCGTCTGTCGGATTCGGCTCGTCCGGTTCGTCAGCTTCGTCTTGGGATTCAACCTCTCCGGCTGCGGTGATGATCATCGTGCGTGGGTTGGGACAATCTCTCGCGAAATGTCCTCGACCTTGACACTTGAAGCAAACGATGTCTCGGCTGCGAGTCTCGATCGGGGGTCGCCTCGGATCGGCTCGAGCGTCCGGATTGGGTTCCCTTGGTTTGAAACGAGACTCGACGACAGCAATCTTGGCCTTATCTTGAGCTTTGTTAGCCGGTGATGTGCTAGGTGACCAGCTGGGAGTTCCTTGGGTTCGACCTCGACTCAAGGTGGCGACCTTCCTCTTGATTTGTTGCTCGCATTGCATTGCGAGATGCAACAATTCTTCGATACCGGAGTAAGCTTGCCTCTCGACCTTTCTCGCGATCCGATCTTGTAATCCATCGAGAAATTGAGCCATAAGAGTTTCCTCGGATTCGTCTAATTGGAGTCGATTCCGCAAATGCTCGAAGTCTTCATAATATTCTTCAACGGATTTGGCACCTTGGGTGAGTCTCCGAAACCGCTTCTGAAGGTCTCGATGGTATAGTGGAGGCACATATCTTCTTCGCATAATATTCTTCATAGCTTCCCAAGTCGAGATAGCCGGCTCGAGATTACGCCTTCTCTCGGCCATGTCTCGATCCCACCAAGTGAGGGCGTGATCGGTCAGTTGAGCAGCAGCATACGTGACTTGCCTTCGCTCGTTGTAGTTGTAGCACGAGAAGACATGATCCATACGACGTTCCCAATCGAGATAAGCTTCCGGATCGACCTTTCCCGCAAAGGTTGGGACGGAAAGCTTGTGTCCCGGCTCTTGTGCCCGATGGTCATCGGGTCGACCATCATATCGTCCACGGGGTCGAGCTCGTCGTTCGTCTCCGGAAGACTCGTTCTGTTCTGGCTCGTAGTGCGGTTGTTGTTGTCGACCGCGGACTGCTCGTAGGGGTGCCCCGGGTGGTAAGTGTTGTTCTTCGATACGGGTGAGTCGTTCCCGTATCCGCGTCAACTCCTCCCGAAACTCGGTCAAAACGGCCCCAAGCTCGGGTGGGGGTAATGGCTCGCCGTCGGGTGGATGTGGGCCGTCCATAGGTGGTTTGATGTCCGGGTATCCGTCGGGGAGTTGACCGGAAAAGTGGATCCGGCGGTCGTTGATCGTCGGAAAAGTACTCCGGGGAAGATTCCGGCGATCGGAATCAGTACGGACGGTGTTTGCTCGAGCGGTACGAGCGGTGGTCGAAAGATGCTCCGTTGGTGATCGATGCGGGTACAACTGGGGTCGGTCTTTATCGCCCGTTGTACGAACGGCTGCGATGTCAGATCGATCCGATCGATGGCTGTCGTACCTGGATCGATAAAGGACAAAGAACTTTTAAGTTTCACGCGCCAATAAAGCAAGATATTCAAACGTGACAGCCCATGATTGACTAAAAGCAAATACAACGTAAGACCAAACAAAATAACTCGACACGTGCCTAGATCTAAGACCCAAACGCGTCTAAAAACCGAATCTAGTAAAAAGGGAAACACTTTATCGATCAAAATCTACTTTTTGCTGAAAAGATCGAAGAACATCAAGAACACGAAGGAAAAACTCGAATAAAAACTCGATCTTTAAGAACTTCTATCGAACAAAAGGTAGATACGGTGACGATATACGAAGAAAAGATGGAAAAAGGAAAGATACAACCTTTTTCGTAGGACCTTCAGCTCTGATACCACTGAAGAACCCTCGGATACGTTCGACGGATCGAAGGTACGGACGAGGATCGATGAACGGATCGGATACTGTCGAGCGAACGAAGCGGCTGATGCGGGATGGGAGAACTCGCTCGTACGAATGAGAGATGCTCTCGGTGGATGAACGGTGGAGTGATTCAACGACACACGAGTGATGGAAAAGCCCGTGATACGGTTGACCCGTCGATGGTGGAGCCCGGCTCGATCGATCGACGAGGGTTTTCGAATCCTTTAGTCGGCGTGAGGCCTTTGTAAGAGAAACGAAGAAATGACGCAAGAGAGAAACCTAGGGTTTTGATTCAAGCAAGCGTGTCTATTACAAGGGTTGAGCAGCCTTTAAATAGGTGCGATCGAGAGAAGGAGCCTATTCTTGCCCTAGGCCACGTGTGTGGTCGAGCGGCTTACAACACTTGAAACAAAAGGACAAAAATTACTAACGTTCGAAATTCAAAGTAAGGATAGGATTCACGCGTCTAGGGTAAACGCGGGAATGCGCTAGGATTAACTGCCTCGTTAAAACCTTCTCGGTAAAACCCATTGGGATAAAAACCGAGGTAGGAAAAAGAGTACAGCCTCTCGCTAACGACTTAAACGTCTTCACCAATGGTGATGGTGAAGACCATCCATGATGGCTCTTCGTCTTGACTTGGTGGATCGTCGAAGACATGTTTGTCCGAGGCATGATCTTGAATGTACCCTTGAAGGAAGAGGTTGAATTGGTCTCGGACATTCTTCTCCATGCGTCGGCTCCTTGTGATCGCTCCTTGGTCAAGAATCGGGACTTTGGGTCGAGTCATCGATCGGGTCTGTCGGATGTCGTCGGTCGCCTCAGTCGATCTCTCGATCTGTCCGTGCCTCGAGCGGTCGATACTCGTCCCGTCTCGGTCGTCGTCCGTCCGTCCGGGCGTCTCGTCCGTCCGTTCCATGCTGTCGCTGCTCGAGGTCACATCACTTTCCGACCATTTTCATTGAAATGAAAGCCCAATGGGCAATGGGGTAGTATAGATGATGGATTTAGAAGTTCAAACCCTCCAACATTTACAACTTCACTAAAAACTAAGCCCACTTGTCCTATCCATAGCTTCGGGACCTTGTCAAAGTTAATTAACGAAAATTTTACATATCGCACCTCCGACAAAAACATACAGATTAGAAGCCTAATCTACCAAAACATACAAGTATACAACAATAACTAAAACTGATTGGTGAGTCAAATACCCGAACCATCAAACGGATCACAACACATGAGCTGGTTCGTTCTTGACTCCAAAAAGCCCATTATAAAAAGTTTGAGGTTGAGCAATTATTTGTCACATCTAAGAGCGGCTCTGATTTTCTGAACGGTGCATGATATCAGATTATTAACGGTCTCGATTGATTCCACGTTGAGCTTAGCCGTAGGAAGAGAGTTAACCAGAATTTGAAACGCCACAGTGAGAAGCGAACCGGTTTCCTCCATGCCTTGACCATCGTCTGGGAGAATACCAAACCCGGAAGGAAGCAAAGCCACGTGAGCCGAATCTGCACCCTTCATCACAGAATGCATCGCAGGGATATCAACAGGTGCGTATACAACAACCGCACCAGATGCGTCTATGCTTGTCTCCTGTAGTATCAACATACTACTCTGGTTCGCATTCATCGCCTTTCAAACATACCAACCAAAACAATTAAAAAAGAGAAAAATGCGTCAATAATGTGAAAACAAAAAGTCAGCAGAAAGAGAGAGAAAAAAAGGTCCCAAATGTCTTATTGATTTTGACTTTTTTTCACTGCATGCTTCCAAATTCAAGATTTGTCCTTTTCCAATCACAGACGACAAGATTCATTCATATGACCACAAATGTCATTTTCAGACACATGCATGCATATATTTATATATATATATATACTTACAGTGGATCGGAGGAGGGAGACGGAGTTGGATTGATCTTGGCCCTTGAAGATGTTAGCAATCTCCTGCATTGGTCCACCGTTGGATAAAATGTCCCACTCCGATCTCAGAAGCTCATCCCTCAGAAAATCAAAGAGCTGTCGCGGTGGAACTGGTACCCACACGGAGGTGGCTGCGCTTAGTAGAATCCCTGGTGGTTCGCCGGAATCATCCACGTTTTTTCGAGTCATTATCCTAACGTCTTCATCGATGTCACCCATCTCAAGTTTACTCCATTTTTGAGAAGACGAAGCGCATACGCCTCTACAGAACTTTTGAGTCATTCTTTGTGCTAGCTTCAACATGCTCTTCTTTCCTATAGAGCTTATGGCTACATTTTATAAAAACGAAAGCATTTTTCAATAATCCCAAAAAAAAGGCTAAAATGTTATTAAAAGGATTGCGTTTTGAGCGGGTAAGCTTACGTGTGGTGTTGTCGCGGTTGGGGATTGTTGAGGACATGAGTATGGTGAGGCTTTCGCATTGTCGTTGCAAAACTGATATCCACCGTTTGGATCCAAAGGCGAGACCTGAGCTGACTAATGGACGATACAAGTTGTGGATACGGGTGTCGTCGTACTCGGTGTGGTCTATCCATGTTACCTATGAGAAAAATAAATAAAATGAATTGACTGTAATATCAAATTATATACTACAAATATCAACATCGAAAGTTTTTTTTCATTGACTTGGAAAATGGAGACGAGGAATTAAGATGTGAATAGAAAATGACATGAAATTTAATGTGATCAAGGCAACATATTAGATCGAGAGAGATTTTTAGATGCTTCTATTCAATTTATTAAATGTAAATTTGCAGCATTACAATTTACATGAATAATTTAATGTTAAACCTAAATAAAAACCTTTACAGCTTGTAGTCAGTAGTCATTTAACCCTTATAAATACTCCAATAAAGTTGTAAATAATCAAACAATGGAAGGACTAATAGCTTTGTAATGTACCTTAGAGTAGCCATTGGGCATGTCTTGCACAAGGCAACCAGACGGTAGCCTTCTACAGCTCAGAGACGTGTGAGCAGAAGCCGAGCCGCCTCGGTCGCTAATCCTATCAACAGAGACATCCACAACCGCCCAAACACCTTCAGCGTGTTGCTTACAAAACCTCAAAAAAGTCACTTGACGAACCGGCACAAGCGGTGAAAGCAACTGAATCTCTGCTTGCATCTACACAAACCAATCCCTTTAAGAATCTGATCCACTGGTCAAAGAAGACAATAATGTAATGAACTGCGTATGTATACATGCGTACTTACCAAATGAAGAGCACCGTTTCTTGTCCCTCCCATACCACTAGAGATTATTTCACTAGTCGAATTTCTTGCGATCATACACGGAAACATTTCCGCCCATCGTTCCTAGAAATTCAACAACACAGCCACTAATTGTAATCAACATTTTTCAAAAACTACATATATAATTTGTTGTAGTTGTTAAGTGTGCTAATTTAATCAGGTCACTAACCGAGTCCATTAAGGTCTCGACTAGGGCTAAGCTATTGATGATAACCACTCCAACTTCTTTAGAAGCTTCTGAGACAAACCCGTCCGGTTTAGGACCAAGGCAAGGTGTGAAGTTTTTCTCGTATTCTTCACGGTTAAGCATTTCACCTTTGCCCTTTGAGCTTGGTATCCAAAGCGGTTCGCTCGTCTGCGCCATTTTCACGAGCTCGTCCATTGCGGTAAGAGCTAACTCCAAATACAATGACTTCTGATCAAGACCGGTCCCAACATCCGTGGTACGGTTAACCGGAGCTGCTAAACCGGAGAAGAAAGGAGACGAAATCTCAAATCCAGCAGGTGGGACTAGAGTGAAACCGCCACCACCATAACCGTTTTTTGTACCGACGCCAAGTTGAAGCGCCGAGTTTGGTAATAGATGATGCGAACCGGTTGGGTCATCGTCAGACCGGGTAATGAATTTACCGGCTAAGGCACATATACGGTCAAGTTCGTCTTTAAGGCGTGAGTTCTCAATCCGTAAGTGGTGCTCTTCAAGAGAAATCTCGCCGAGGACGGCGGCGCCACCGCAATGACCGCACATCGGATTTCTAATGGCTTCTCGTGCAGACATGTTCTCAGCTCGGAGCTTATCGTTTTCTTGTCTCAATAAAGAGTTTTCATGGCGCTCAATTTGCGTCTACCGGAGAAAAAAAAAAACAGAAATTATTCTTCCTTTATTTTTAAAATAAAACAAAAAAAAACTTGGATTTGAGTAGGAAGTGAGGAAGCAAAGCAAACCTTCATCTGAGTACGGCGGTTTTGGAACCAGAACTTGACTTGTCGAGAATCCAAGTTAAGCCGACGGCTAAGATCTAGCCGTTGTTTCTCATCGGGATGGGGACACTCCTTGAAAACCCTAAAATTAAAAATCAACGGCGTCGGTTGATATTTCTATAAATTAATTAATAAATAGGGATTGGATATATAATTACGATTCGAGTTCTTGTATTTGTTGAGGAGTATGTCGGTGGTAACGTTTCTTCTTTTTCAAAGGTCTGTCGGAAGCGTCTAAGTCATCGTCGCCGGAGAGTGCGTCGGCGTTATCGCTTCCAGATCTGCTCTCTGGACTTCTCCGGCTAACACTCACCTCGAAACTCTCGCCGGTTCTTGTGGCTTCTCCGTTCGTTTGCTGCTGGAGGAAATTAAAACGTTTGTTCAGAGATGGAACAAAACAAAAACCAAGTCATAATAATCAAAATCTCTACAAAGAAAGAGAAGTTGAAAACCGTACGAGGCCAAGAGAGAGACGAGGAGAAGAGAATATGGATTTAACGAGACCACCGGACATAGCGGCGGAAGAGAAATGGTTTCCGCCACCGGAGGAGCTATCGTCGTCGTGATGGAGAAAACCGCTAAAATTCATTTTTTTTAAAACCAAGGAAATATAAATCTCTAACAATCCGTAGTCTCTTTTAAATTAAAATCCGTAACGGATGAAGTTAGTAGCTTCGGTGCATGTTCATGAAAGAAGAAGAAGACGAAAAAGGGGTTTCAGATTTGTTCAGACAGAGAAAGAAGAGATGTGGAGTGTTCGAAGCCTTACAAAAACTATAAAACAGCCAACAACAGTTTGGTTGACTCTTCACTCTCTCTTCACCCTTTTTTTTTCCTCTTTCCCATATGCTAATAAAAGTCCACTCACATGTTACAATTACGGTCTTGCCCTTCTCTGGACCTTCACAGGTTCACACTAGCTTCAAAACTATATGGACCACTATGGTCCCGAAGCTATATGTTTGTAACTATTTAGCTTCTTAGTAAATTTCCATTTCACTTTGATAACATTTTTGTTGCCAAGTTAAAGTGGCATTTACTCTGTTAGTATAGTACACAGTCTATATATTTTGAGAAAGTATTGTTAAACGAAGGCTAATAGTATTAATAAACAGGTGAAAAAGGGTAAGTAAAAGGTAGAGATGGGGTTGTTGCAAAGTGTGGCTGGCTAGTTTAAATTTCATGACCCAATCAATAATTATTCGGAATTGAAGACTGCGATATAAACCTAAGATTCAATAAATTGAATGATTGGATAATAATGGACGTGAAAAGCTGTCGAAACTAACTGCTTCATTTATAACATATGCCTTTCTTTACTTACTCGATATGGAGGAACCCAAAAGGCCGGCAGAAAAAAAAAGTAGCCTCTACACCAAGAAAAGAAAAAAATAAAAAGATTGCAGACTTGCATACCAAGTATATATATATCTAACTATATCTTTTTGGAAAAACTTTGAAAATAAATAAAGAAAAAGTCTGTAACAATATATATATTTTGGTACACAAATCAACGACCAAAAAGAAAGAATAGTCGTCCAAATACTAATGAGAATATGAAAAATGATATAATGAAAGGTAGCTATCATATGGTTAAATATGAAAATATTATTGACATAATAAAAATCAAAAGTTCACACTTTACTACAGACTATAGTCGGTCAAACATGTTGTTTTAGCCGGCATGCAACCATCTTTACTTCGCTTTCGAAACAAAAGTCAGGAAATCAGAACCATCTTTACTTAGACTGGAGCATGTACATAACATACATAACATAGTTGGGTGTATACGTACTGAATAAGTCTTAATTATGATCATACGATGCAGTTAAAAATCGATCTGTAAACTATTTTTTGTTTATTTCATATGATAAGAATAATGACAACAATCATTGAGAATTTATTGTTGCAAGAAAAAAAAAAATCAAAACCAAAACCAAAAAACATAACATTGTTAAAGAAAAAACTCAAAATCATGAGAGAGCACTGGTATTGTTTTTATCATCCTCGGGAGCAGGAACGGTCCAATATTGTTTCACCGCATAGTAAATCTTCTCTCTTTCATGAGGACCTTTCTCGTGGTCTGCAATTCTACCTTCCCATTGTAATCCTTTGGTTAATTCCTTAACCTTGATCAAAACGTCCACGTCATCTCTTATAATCACTCCACCACCCGGTCTAAGAATCCGGTCCATCTCCAACAATATCTCCTCCGGTTCACACTTACCTTGGTACATTGTGAAGACCGAGTCAGCATGGATAAAATCATACGTTCTTGGATACGTCGACATCGCTTCACACCTAACAAACCCAAGAGGAATCGGATCATTAAACCATAACCTTCCACAAGAAATTCTCGATTTACTTTAAGTTCGGTTTAAGCTTACCAGTTTTGATACGTTCCGATGAGACCGCGCTCGTAAATGACACCGAGAGTATTGCGCTTAGCCTCGACCGGGACAATGTTCATAACCCAGACCGGATCATCCGCTAGAGCCGCCGCGAATCCACCGAGATAAGCGTTCATGTCAACTAAGTTTCTGTATCTCCCGGTTTCACCCAGCTGGTAATCTAACTTCTTGTAATAAGAAACTCTCTGTTCCCACAGTTTCGTGTTCTCCAAGAAAGCTTCAGGTGTGATTTCCGTGAGTTCGCCTTTGTTTACTCTCGGTGGAATTGCGTTTAATCTAGCTGGCCACTTCTCTAGCTTCCCTCCAGCCACCGTCTTTAGATCCTCCGCATCATCAACTTCAGGTAACGGCGTCAAACAGGAACCCATCTTCGTATACCTGCATCATTTCGAAATTTATAGCCAAATTCTACCATTTTAAAATCTTAGATATAGAAACTTATAGATTGCTTACCAGGCCATGTCGGGATCTTGATCATGACGACAAAACTTTGGATTCTTTAAAAGCTGTATGGTTTTCTTACACTGGATGTGGTTAAAGGGTTTTTGCCAAATAGCAAGATCATCTCTCTGAACAACTTTCTTCCAACACAAGCTTCTCGCGACCTGCTCGATCTGAGTCTGCTCTGTATTCAAATCATCCATCGTCCTTTCCCATCCTTTCCAACGGTTCTGCCAATTAATCGGCGGTCCAGAAAGGATCCAGTACCCTCCTGGTCTTAAAACCCTATCCACCTCCATCAAGTAAGCCCCATCTGCAACACAACACAAAGAGTTAATAAGAAGTTAGAACCTCAAAAATAATGAGTGATTTCGAACTTGTTCAGAGTTTAGAGTCGAACCATTTTGGCCCCAAGGGATAAGGCAACGAGAGCAATGTGCTAAGTCAAAGGCTCTAGAAGGGTACGGTAAGCGGATTGTAGCCATGATTCCAATCATCGCCGGCACACCACGCTCGAGTGCGAACTGGACCTGAGCTTCGTGTGTATCCCTTGGTGCAAATGACATCGTTGTAATGTTTCTTGATAAAAGATACGCACCGAAACTTGCCACCTGTTAAACCAAAGACACACTTAATTACTCGAACATATATATCAACAAAAGTTAGAAAACTAAGCAGATGACTTTTGTTTTTTTTGTTTGAAAAAATTAAGTCAATCTAAGAGAGAGAGAAAAAGTCCATCTACTAAGTTTATTTTTTCAACTTTACAGGTTTAGTTGGTCAATAGTGACATTAGACGACGATTAGGTGACTTATAAGTGGGTAACACTCAGAAACCAAATATATGTTGGAAAAAAAAACAAATATGCTTTATTTTCTAAAATTTAGTAAAAATTCCAAGATGGTGATGCAATTAAACAAATGGAATTGAGATTAGATATGACTAGATAAGGATATGCGTAAATATATCTTGTTAGTTAAAATAGACGTCCCAACAGATTATTCGACTGAAACAGATTGGTGAGAGATAAAAAATCTTATTTTATTTTTTCTTTTTAAGTTTTGAATTATAAAAATAAAAATGATGAATTATGCACTCTTTGATAGAAAGGGAAAAATAAACCGAACCGGGTGGAAAATGTAAAAAAACGTACCCCGCAACCGGTATCGATGGCAGTGCGGATAGAGCCGTCGCTGAGATCAATCAACCGTCCGATATCGTCAATGTAAGCATCAGCGCCACGTGGAAACATGGTACCGCCACCAGGGAACCAAAACCGGTCATTCTCGTACCGGACCCAATTCTGATTCTTTTTCTCAACCGTAAGTTCCGTGTGAGGCACATTAGCGAACCACGCCACGTCACGGCTCTCCGGCCACCGGAACGGCGTTTTGTATCCGTATGGCGCCGGGATCCTGCATTTCAGGATTTCTTCTCTCTCGGGACAATGCCTTTGCCTGTACTCCAACCTCTCCCTCGGGAATTTCAACGATCGCTTAGCGTCTTCGCACGGCGTGTGCTCGCTCAGCTCGACGGCGCACGACGGGAAACTCGCGGCGGTCTCCGGCACAGGAGGCGGATCTTGAATGCTGTGGTGGGCGTCGAAGTTGAGATCTTTGGCAGAATCTGGTCTGATGAATGCCTCGCACGGTGTACCGTCAGAATCATCGAAGGCGGCGCGTGGATTGGCGACGGTGTTTTGCCAAATACCGAGAAGGTAGCTCCCGAGGCAGAGAAGCGCAACTAGGGTTACGTAGTAAAGATTGGACTTCTTAGTCCGAGATGATATCCTTGTAAACAAATTCATCTCTTTCACAAAGAAAATTACGAATCAGGAAACGAAATCGAAATAGTTTTATGTATACACGAATCGAATGTGTGACGAGTGAAGTTTTCAGGGTTGATATGAAGTGGTTCGAGGGTGTCATATAAAGGGGAGAGTGAGAACAAAAAAAAAAGAAGCGAGTGTGTGGTACGCGCGCATTAAGGTCAAAAGGTCAATGAGGTTTATAATGGTATGGTTCGTGAGAGAGATTAGGCTAAAACGTGCGAGCTTGTCATAGGCAACAATGCGGAATTATTATGTTCACAATATTATTCTTTTCCTATTTCATCTCATTTATTAGATTTGTTTTTCTGAAGCAAAATGGAAAATTATGGATTGTGTACATATTCTGATATTCATGCACTGTTGGAATTAAATGTTTTGAAAATCCAAGAAAATGGAAAATTATGGATTGTGTACAACAACAATAATGTTATCTTTCTATATTTTTTTAAAATAAAATTGACATTAGGAAGAATCCGTGTACGTGAAAGTGCACGCTCCGATGAAGGGGCGTGAGGTTTGTTGTTAGATGAGGGGGTGAGGGGTCCGTTTGGGTCCTTTGGATGCAAAGAGACGCAATCCCAATTGCACTTTTCACCGGTACGAACCAATTTTGGGATGCATTCCCCGGTTTGCATGCACTGAGATTCTTTCTTCTTTTGCTCTGTATATACGCCAGTTTATGGGAATGTAGTTTTGCACTTTATTTTTATTTTTTGGGGGGGGGCCAGAGGAGTTTAAAAACCTTGCGGGGTTGTGAAGAAATGCCCGAAGAAGCAATGTTTAGTTCGTTAAAACACAGTAAAGAAGAGTTTGGTTTGCGTTTGTAATTTATTTAAACATACAAGAAGCTGATTTCCAACGCAACATTTTGTACGTACCATTTAGTCATATATGCTATGCAATGTTTCGCTGGGTATATTGTTATACTATTCTATCTCTAGGTTTTCGTTTTGATGTATAGGCCAAATACTCAGATTTGATAGCATCGAACAGGAAATTGTAAGGTACTGAATTAGATTTCTATATCCGAAAAACTGGAAGTGGATGTACGGTATATCCCAAAAAATCCGATATACAATATATTTTTGAGATTTCTATTTATATTTTGAAAAAGTTGTTAGTTATTATATTTTAGGATTCGTAGTAACCTAAATACCTAAAATTACAATTATAAACGCAAATATATTCGTAAACCTGAATACACGTACGTGAATAAGATAAACAAAAAATATAGATCGGCTTTTTTCTTAAACCCTCGTTCCCCTCTCCTCGGCTCCACAGCCATGACCATGAGGAGCCTTGGCAGAAATCTCTTTGGCCTAAGCCGTTACTTTTCTTCTGCCTCCGCCGCCGCCGTGCGGTACTCAGTCGGAAGAGATCCGTCGTCACTCCCGTTGGCTCTCACCCAGAAGCTTCCTAAAAACCCCACCCCTTGTTTCGTCGATGACCGTCCGATTTCTCTACGGTACAGAGTCAATTCAATGATCGAGCTTTCTCAGCTGGACAAGGCTGCGGAAATCGCTCGTTTCGCTGGATCGGAAGTACATCGCGATGGCCCCGAGACAACACTCGTCATGTGCAACGAAATCATCGGCGCCATGATCGGCGCCAAACGTTACGTGGACGCCATCGCTCTGTTCCACTACTTCTTCAACGAGTGTAAAATTACTCCCAACATCGTCTCTTTCAACCACATCATCAAAGTCCACTGTAATGAAAACCGCGTAGACAATGCCCTCCAACTATACCGTCGCGCCAGAGATTCTAATATAGACAACGAAGACACATACAGGATTCTGACCAAAGGCCTTGTCGACGCAGGGAGGATCTATGAAGCTCTGGGTATGATTGAGGGCGGCGCGGAATGGGTGGAACGTATCTATGATTCAGATTCAGTTGCATACAGCTATCTGATTCGTGGCTTCTTAGATCTTGGAAACCTCCACAAAGCTGATCAGTTAACCTATGATTTTTTCGACAATATACCTTGTTATCTTTATGAATACGACACAATAGCTATGGTGGATGCAGAATATTTGGATTACTGGTTTAGACAAGGCAATGATGAGGAAGCCATGAAGATTTACAACTCAATCATCTCCACCAAAGTTGGAAAACTCATGTGTCCACCGACTGGAAATACCCTTTTGAAAACCTTGCTAAAGCACGGCAAGATATCTGAGGCGTGGGCATTGTTCAAGGAGATGATAAACAATTCTAACACACGAGTTTCTAACAAGGATGTGTTTCGTCGACCTAGGGGTGCAGATAGTATTGATTCAGAGACTATTAATCTGATGGTGAACGAGTGCTTCAAGATGCGCAAGTTTAAAAAGGCAATGGATACTTTCAAGCTGGGAGCTTCGTTTTCTCGGTGTTATAGTTACATTATCGACAAGTTTTGCGAGCTTGGAATGATGTCTGAGGCAGAGGGTTTGTTTGAGGGATTGTGCTCACACAAAGACGTGGTCTTGTCCCGTGAGATTCCTTTATTTAGATCAATGATCAATGGATATGTTAAGGTTGGGAGAGTGTATGATGCTCAACGGATGTTGCAAAAGATGGTGGCTGCAAGTCTACTCAAGGTTGCTGTTCGTCAGGCCGATTAGAGCTTCTTGGCTATATCAAAGCTGATGTTCTCAATAACTAATGTGTTCGAAAAGACAGTAGTGATTCTGTGGAAACATTATGATCCATCCAAATGGTGCCATTCTTAAAAGAAAAGCCTTGTTTAGTCTCTCTTACCATTTGTTTTTGGAGGTCTTTACCAAAACAATAAAAAAATTTAGTTTAAGTTGCTTTCAGTTATGCAATGTATTAGTAATCTGTGCTCGACATAGATGTCATACAATCCGGTTCATACTATTTCCAATAATTTTAAACGAAAACTATAGCTATTCGTGGCCATAAGTAAGAGCAATAATGCACTCATCATGCGAATGGTTAGGAGACATCCAAAGAAATACCTCCTGGAGGCAACTAGACAAGAGGGGCGACAATTGATGAAGAAGCCAGTTGGGGAATAAGATTTTGGTACTCCCCATTGATTCAGTGATGGAACAAAGTCCAGATCATAGAGCCTATCAGTCACAGGATTCCATGTCTTGAGCTCTGTCCCCATGAAAATAATAAACATACGAGAAATTTTTCAAACTGATAACGACCAAACTGATCATATCTTAGATTAAGTGTATATTTTCCCGAAAAAAAAAGAAAAAAAAGATTCAGTGTACATATATATATATATATAGCTCACGGAAATATTTAGGGCTGAGAGTATTTGAGTCCGGAAGGAAATTGGTATTCTCGAATATAATTGTTTTGCTGACCGCCGCCATGTTTCTCTGTCGTCGGCTCGTCCTCACTGGCAGTGCCTACCACAATTCCTTTCGTAGCTTATCCTCCGTCGTCAAGAAAGATCCGTCCTTGTACAACTTGGATTACCGACCAAAGGCTTTACAAGCGCGAGTTGATTTCCTGATCGGCTTGGGAGACCTGGACACGGCGGCCAAGCACGCGCGCCTGGCTGGCAAAGCCTCGGCGGGCTATGAAGACTTAATCTGCGTCAAACATACGTGCCAAGCAATAATCGGCGCCTTGTGCGAAGCCAAGAGGTACAAAGATGCCTTGGACCTGTTCCATTATTTATACCGCGATTCCAAGGTTGTACGTTTTGATGGGTACTTCAATGATATCATCAGACTCCACCTGGACCAAGGCCGTTTGGACGACGCTCTTAACCTCTACGACCCCTCACGGGCCAATGTCGTTACGGAATCCCTCATCTCCAAAGGTTTGGTCGACGCCGGGAGACTAGCCGAAGCCATGTATCTATTTAAGTCTTCCAGTTCGACCTCGAATATGCACATGCTCCTGTTTGAGAGGACTTTGCTTCAGGGGGATGTTGAAAAAGCCAATGAGGAATTGAGAGAAGCCATGGATCGATTAAAGCCGACAAAGTATACCTGTATGACCTCGCGTGTGTGCATGCACCTGTTGGAGGGGGTGTTGCGTCAAGGGGATGTTGAAAAGGCCAATGAGGTATTGGGCTATCAATTGGGGAGAGCTCATGTGAGTGGTGTTGGATATGACGATGTTGCGATTTTTCGCTACACATACATGAAGTATTGGTTCGAGCAAGGTAAGGAGGAGAAAGCTATGGATTGCTACAGTCTTTTGGAGTTGGGAAAACTTAAGGAAGCCCCTGCTGTCAACGCAATTTTGCTCCTTTTTCTCAAGTATGGCAAGAAAAACGAAGCTTGGTCCTTACTCGACCAGGTTTTGCATAGCCAGGAGATGCACAATATGAATGACTATACGCTCAATATCATGGTGACCGAGTGTTTCAAAATAGGTCGGTTTGACCGGGCTATCCAAATTTTCCACAAGGTGAAAGCATTAAAGCTCAAGAACCCAGATGTTACGTGTTACAGAAACATTATCACAAGGCTTAACAGGCAGGGCATATTGTTTGAGGCAGAGCACTTGTTTGAAGAAATGTGCTCTGACAGATTGATCAGACCTGATGTTTCTACATACACAGCGATGATCTCTGCATATCTAAAAGCTGGGAGAACCGAGGATGCCTGCGACTCTCTAACAAGATGGTTGATGCATTTCTAGGGCAGGTTGCTCGGCTCGCTTGCCTCTAATAAGATTACATTTTTCTTTTTTTCTTTCTTGTAATTTAGTAGTTACAACGAAAAGCATATACCCTCATGAATCACAACTGGTGACATATCGCATATAGTTTACTACTCCATTATAGTATTTGCTTAGGAAAACCAACATCTAATAATAATTCAATATTAAAACTTGCGTATCAAGAATCTGAGGCATAAACATATTTATTAAAATCATCATTCCTGGAAATAAGTATTTTATACGAGGTAATAACAGCAGCAAATTTCCTTTTTAAAAGACCAACATAAACGTTGCGAAATTACTTTCTCCTTCACACCAGCTTTCTCGATCAGCTTCAGGGTGTTTTGATCTTGGGGCGTGTCGGAAGCAACTGTGGTTTGTAGGGAAAAATGAGAGCCATATAAGATCAGCAGAAGAAAGTTACGAAATTGGAAAAGATCGGTTTTCGTGGAGAAAGAAGTGTTACCTGGTAACAAGAAATGACGGAGGTGATGAAACCAAAAGCTCCGGTGACACGAGGAGTGATCTTCTTTGGAGCCAACTGAAGCAGACCAGCTGCTACAACAATGTCCATAGCTGATTTGATCAAAGCAAGTGACCTCTCGTTTGATTTTTTAAGCTTAGCACGATACTCCTCATCCTGCAATTTGATAAACATGAATTGAGTCTCTTATAGTAAGAATATGTAGAATTAGAAGATTCTTGATTAGAGGAGAGAACTTTACTTGATACTTGTTACCATTCTTGAGTCCCTTTTCAATCTTCTTCATTGATGAAGAAAGCCTTCCAATCTCACCAATCTAATAACAGTGAAAACCGATAAATATAAGCGGCTAAAAAGGTAAGGTGACATATGAGGAATTGACTTGGAAAGTGAAAGAAAGAAGAGACGGACCTCGACTAAAGTTGTACACACAGAAGATCCCATCCAGCAGAAAAGAGATATCCGTCCAAGTAACTCAGCTCGCTCTTTGTTCTGTGTAGAGATACATAAAGACATTAGCCAAAACCCAAAACTTCAATAGACCAGTGGTACACAGATTTGATCTCTCTTACCTTATATATTCCTGATCTCCCAAGCCAGACAATTTGATCCAGGAACAAGAACGTAGATAAAAGTGCGTTCTTGGACTGAAATTAACAAAAACATCCATCAACAAAGATTGATCCAAAACAAAGATATGAAAACAAGGGGACTAATAAATCTTGGTACTTGAGATTCCTTTCACAGTTCATTAATGGGTATAGTATGAAAATGAAACGAACTATGAGCTCTCAAGTACCTACCTTTCCAAGTAAAACAAGAGGAAGTGGAGTCCCTTTAGGAACAGGACTGATAAGACCATGCAAGTCATTTACAAACTGCAACAATGACAAAAGATATCTAAGTCAATTAACAAAACTAAAAAACAAACACAAATCAAAGTGACAAAACGAAACCGAAACAGCTAAAAGGATCAACCTTGAAAAGACGGAAGACTTTCCTGGCTAAGCTAGTAGATTTGTCAACATTTTGAGCAGTACCAGGTTGTCCACCACTCAAGAACTTGGAACCATACTGTATAGCTCTGCATAACTTATCCCTAGCCTCAGCTTTGTTCAAATACATAACCACAAGAGCAAGCTCGGCTCTTGATACATCTAGTGTCGTCGCCATGTTTTCTCTGAATACAAAACATAGAAACGTTTCTCACCAAAGAGACCTTTGCAAACCCAACACAAAATTAGCAAATTCACAGCCTTTTCGATCTTCGAACTCGTTTTTGATCGAATGAATTACAAAATTAACATGTGAATAATCAGATAAAAAAATAAAAAAATTACGATTCGATATACCTTTGGGGAGATATGTGAACAGAGAGAGAGAGAGAGAGCGATCAACTAAAGATTCAATGCCTCTGTTTTTGGAACGCACGTAAGCAAATCGTTTTGTCTTGATCTTCTTTTGATTGTGTTGTGTAATCGGAAGATAGGGCTTGTTTGGTCATCTTCGTTTCCTGATAAACAAACAAAACAACGCCGTTGGGTCAACGCACTCATCTCTACGATCCCTCTTTCTCAGCCGTCGATTATGTTGACTCTTCGATTTTAGCTATCTCTCACTGTGCATTCGGAAGTTGAGGATATTTCGCGCGTCCCATCCACGTGGCACACATCTCTAGGGAAAAATACTGTGAAACTCCACGTGGTTATTGGGCCGAGAGCACTCTCAAAGCCCAATTAAATCTAATGGACTTTGAGTTTAGGCCTAATTAAGCATTAAACCGCTCTTTCTTTAACCGACAAAACCGTAGTCGTTAGTACTTAGGGTTTTACTTATAAATCCGTCATTCACTTTTTTTTAGTCAGAACTGAAACTAACCAAACAAACATATAACTGCAGTCTTTTTTTTTTTTTTTGGTGATGGAACTCAATAAGGATCAGACAGTCATGTCGGAGGATAACAACAAGCCTCAAGATCCAAATCCCAGATTGGCTTGGGAAGGTTGCAGCGTTTTGCTCGACGTCAACGATGGTGACCGTCTCGTCTTCGCTCGTTTATCTGGTGGCGCGTACGTCTTCTCCTCCTCGAGATCTTAGTATACCCAGATTGATTCTCACCCTCAGTTCTATTGCTTTTGAATTTGGTTTTTGATTCTTTTTTTTCTCTCTTTTCTTACAGTATATTAAAAATTGGGAATAAGAATTATTCTTTAAAGCCATTGATCGGAGCTCCGTTTGGATCTCTGTTCCAAGTCGAAAGCGGAGAAGATGGCTCTTTCCTCTCTCGCATTCTACCAATTAAAAAAGGTTTGTTTTTGAATACCAATATCACATTATCTTGTAAGCTGAATACTAAAGAAACTGAATTTTTACAAATTACTATAATGGTAGTGGTTGGTTTGAAGATAGATTGAATTTGGTCTAATTGATGTTTGCTTATCCAGAAAATGACCATAATAATGTTATGGACGATTCTAGAGATAATCGGGAACTCGTCGACAACAATGAAGCTCAGAACCTTACTGGTGAAGAAATTGAAGCTATGCGGAGGTTAGAAGAAGGCTTTATATCCCCTGTTTTATTAGATTGAATGCAGACCTTAGTGGAATATTTGCTAATTTTTTTCTTGTCTTTTTATGAGAGTAGAGAGGGTGCCAAAGGGGATGAAATTATTGAAGCTCTAATTGCAAACAGCAAAACATTCGATAAGAAGTTTCAGTTGTCTCAGGTAATGTATTTTTTTATTCTTAATCTATCTGCGTCTACTTTGCAAGTTTGAGAGACATATAATTTGACTTTTCGTGTTACATCTTATAGGAGAAGTATAAGCTTAAAAAGCAGAAGAAATATGCACCAAAGCTGCTTCTTCGACGGCCTTTTTCTCGAAGGTATTAATTCGGTTTTTATTGTTTTGTCTCCTTTTGTTTTCTACGTCTTTCGTTTTTCTTATGAAGGGATCTGTCTATGTTTACCAGTATATGTGAAGCTTATTTCAAGAAATATCCAGCCAGAATCGGGTAAGTACACTTGTTTCTTTTCATTGATTGTGTATTCTGGAGATCCTGAGTCCTTTTTTCCTCTGTTGAGAATTTAATTCTCGCTCTTTAAGATAACAATTATGTGTTGATTGTGTTGTATATCTTCTCTGTGTGTGTGTTGTAGATTCTTACGGGTAGATGCGTTATCTCTTCTGTTAACAATGGCTAATATCACTGCATACTCGGATGTGCTTGTAGTAGATATGGTTGGTGGCCTTGTCACTGGTGCAGTGGCTGAACGATTAGGAGGTATATAAATTCAATGAACTCTCCAAATTTTTTCTCTTTTACTGATGATTATATCTTTTTGTCAGGACCAAAATATCTTTCATAATGTCCAACTAATGATGGCACTTGCATATTTCTGTAACAATTATGCCACTGCAATTGTGAGTCTCTAATGTATTCCTTTTGACAGGCACTGGTTATGTTTGCTCTACATATAAGGGAAGTAGTCCTTATCCTGTGGAGATGGTAAGGATGTTCAACTTTAGTGACAAGGTTATAGAGAGGTATGTTCGATTGTCTCCAAGTCTTTTTCTCTAATTGAAACCATTCTGTAAGATATATCTGTAATTGGCATTTGTGGACATTCTGTGTTCCTGTTCTCATGTGCAGGATCGTGCAGGCATCTGTAACCGAGCTCTCGTCAGCCAAAACTGAGTCTCCTGAAGAAAATAATCAACAAGGAGTTAGTAACACTGAGAACAATATCAATGCAAGTTGTGAACCTATAAATTTTCAATTGATAATTACTACACTTCGGTCACAACTTTATTGAAAAATGCAGGAAATAGCTACATCTGATAGTATGGTAGAAGATGTATCTGTGACAGCTGAGGTTAGAGTAGTAGATAATGTTGTCCCAGAGAGAAAAATTATCAAAGCCCCAAAAGCTGGAGCCAAAGCTTCAAAAGAAATAATAGATATGTGGCGAGAAAACGGTTTCTCTAGGTAAGTAACATATAAGTGTTTCTATGAATGAATTTGGTTTATGTTCATTCATCACCAAATGATCGTCTAATTTGCAGCCTAATCATTGCTGCACAAGACCAAGACCCATGGAGCTTTGTTAAGGATGCCTTGCCACTTCTCTCCTACTCTGCACCCTTTGCAATATATCACCAGTATTTACAGGTATGTCAGAAGACCAAATCCCTCTGTAACTGCTCTCTAACTAATTCTAATCTGCTACATTCGGTTCTAGGCTAGATACAGTAGACCTATAGCTTAGTGAACTTTTTCTAAGCGTTTAATGTTTTTTGGAAATAATGAACAAAATCTCATTATGAAATTCATAGCCACTGGCAACATGCATGCACAAGCTTCAGCAGGAGAAGATGGCGATCAACCTGCAAATAACAGAACCATGGCTACGCGAATATCAGGTCTGATAAAATTCTCTTGTTTAAAATCCCAATAGATAGATAGATCATCTAGAGGTTGTCCATCTATATATGAATATCTCGAAATGCAGGTTCTTCCTTCAAGATCTCACCCTCACATGCAGATGAGTTCTTTTGGAGGATATGTTCTGAGCGGCATTAGAATCTCTACCACTTGACTATTGTTTTCAAAACCAGAAACTTTGGTTTGATGAAGAAACTTTTCTTCAAAGGTCTTTGTGGTTGTTTTGTTGTTGTAATATAAGGGCTGAGATTAGTGAAAACGGCCATCCCCTTACAATTTTCTCTGACAGTTTTGTATGTCCACACCTGAAATGTTAGAATTGTTTTTTTGGATGTTTTGTGTATTTGGTCATATGACAACACTACAATATATACATACCAAACAAGATACCATTACCATTGGCTGAGTTTCATAAAGATTATGAAAACATTACAGAATACATTATATATATACCACATTGATATAAGATCTGCATCATGTTCTTCGCAGCTCTACTTCCTAGCAAAGAAACTTCTTATTTTCCCTTTCTCAATTCTTTCAAGAAGCTTCTTCGAACCAGGAACCTCCAACTCCGACAACTTCTTCAAATAACCAACAGCTCCATGAGAGACCATCAGCTTCTTACACTTCCTGCTCGAACACAAAGCCGCCAAACCCGATACCGCATATTTCTTTGCCGAATTACTCGGACTTGGCTCAAGTAACATCACGAGACTGGTAACACTCTTCTCATCCCTCTTCACTTCTCTGCAATTCCTTGGAACCGTGACCAGACTCGCTATAGCTTGAGCAGCAACTTCTCTAGCTCCACTCCCTTTCGCCTCCAACATTCTTATCAACAACGGGATACAACCTGATTCACCGATCATTCTCTTTGTCTCATTTGATGTAGCAATCCTGCAAATAGTTGATGCAGCCGCTTGTTGAGCTCCGATTGATCCTGATTTAAGAACATGGACTAAACTTGGGATTATCTTGAAGTAAGTCTCAACAGAAACAGAGCCAACAAGATTCCGAATTGCTGCAACTCCTGATTCTTGAGGAAGAGGACCGTCTAAGTAAGCAAGCAGAGTTTGAATCCCGTTCTCTGATATAACCGATCTTCGAAGAGTTTCGTTGCTCGAAGTGAGATTCTGAAGACATTCCGCTGCGTATTCTTTAGATCCCAATAGAATTCCGCAGTTAAGTATGTTAATCATCACTTTAACGATTCCTTCTTGAGCTAGATTCTGTCTTACTTCAGGCACAGAGGAAATGTTCTTCAAAGTACAAGCAGAAGCGGATTGAGAAACAGAGTCCCCTGTTTTGCAAATCTCGATCAACGGACTAACCCCGCCGTGACCAACGATTGAACGTGATGTCTCTGATGAAATAGACATTCTCTGCAACGAAATAACCGCTCTCTCCTTAGCAACAGGACTTCCCGATTCTAGTAGTCTTATCAGAGGAGGCAACGCGTTCTCAGAGATAAGCCAGTTTTCGCATCCGCCTGATTCCGCTAGAGAGCAGATCACAGCCACCGCGTTTTCCCTGACGCTAGGCGAAGTAGCCGTCAAAAGCTGCACCAAAGACGCGACATTGGTCCGACCCAAAGCTGTTAAAACCGCTTTTTCGTCTTCTTTCATTACCTCAACAAGCTGATCAAGCGCTTTGCGTTTAGACTCCAAGTGACCTATCTGAAGCCGAGCAAGCAATTCTCTAACGCTGAACGTTTCCAAGTCTTGAATTGAAGAGGATAAAGGCTGTGTGGCTTCTCCAAGAACACCTGTTTTCATAAGCAATCCACAATCTTTCAAGCTAAGATCGATTTTGGCAGATAGAGAATCGAGATCACTCTGCATCTTCAACTTCCCTTCTTGCTTCTCATTTACGCATACATTAGCGAGCTCGATGGCATCTTTCAAGGTTTCTAAGACCGCTTGAAGTTGCTCTTTGCATAGAGCGTGTTTAGAGAAGCAAGGATGGCTAGACAAATCCGATAAACATGTCGGTATCTTCTCTAATCTTGAAATGATCACTCTCCATCTGCTTGAGAAAACTTTCACTGTTCTTGCTTTGGACAAAGCAACAGGGACAAACTCTTGCGCCTGTAACAACAAATCCTCAACTGTTGGATCAACCAGAGTTTCGTTCCCGGTTCTCTCCTCCACCATGATCACAGAGAAATACAATCCTTGAACTCTGTTTCACTGAATTACACCAAAGAAGGAAATTAAAAAAAAAACTTTAGAGATGTATCGAAGCAAAAAAAACAAACTCAGAAACGATCAAATAGGCCTTGATGAGAGGCACACTGGCAAATAATTGATACTTTAGCTCTGTAATAGAAAATTAAAAAAGACAAAAGTGGGGAGCAAAAGGCAATGAAGGGAGTAGTTAGAAAGAGTGATGAACAAGTTGGTAAATTTGTTATAAATAAGGACACGGAGTTTCAAACAAGAAAAAGGAAGAAGCTATCAAAAGAGTTTCGAGAATCTTGAAGATGTATCACAGAAAAGCTTTATCGACTTTTTTTTTTTGTTTTTGTTTTTGCTGAAGAACAAATTAAAAAACCCCTACGAGACAAAAATTTACAAGTCATTTTCCAATTTCCTTTACTTCGTCGGTGTGAACAATAAATGAGATTTTTATAAAGGCTAATGAATGATACATATGGTAATAAAGAAATAGAAGAATCATCACAATCAGCATCTATTACATGATAAAGTATTAATTTTCATGAAAAGGCTCCTGGAAAATATAGACAAGAATACCCTTCCGATGAACAACAACGAGGGAGAGCTTCAAAACACAGGCAAAGATTGAAGATTAAGAGCTGGTTTAAGAGGAAAAGCAATAAAGAAACAAGAGAGACTTTGTTTTAAAGAGAAGATGTGAGTCTCTTTCAACAAATCGTGTGCTTAAAAACTTCATAAGAGTTGGAACCAAACTCCACTAAAGCACACTACATACAAGGTTGGTGACAAATCCACAACATTATCTTTACTGTAAGAAAAGTAGCCAAAAAAAAAAAAAAGCTTAATTAAAAGTTCTTTCGTGAGAAGAGCTTGTGTAAAATGCAAGAGATTCAAACAGAACATGAAGAAATATTGAAAACTAACAATTACCTGGAAACAAAAGAACTATGCGTGAGCTTCTGGGTTCGATGTCTGAAACTGATTTTGAACGAATTAGTAGCAGAGATATTTGAATTTCGAAACTGATACAAAACAAAAGTAGACACTCTCTTTTACACAGAGGGAGCTGTGTGCCAGAGTCGTTTATTTTGTTTTAGTCAGCTTTAGATTTGTTCCGACAGAGAGCCGTAACGCACGATTTCTAATTTTTATCGAATCGCGAGAGGTTTTTAAATTCAACTGATCGAACGGTTCTGGTTTCATCTTGTGTAAACCTATCGAACGGCTGGGATACGACTAAAATTTGAAATGACTCGGTGATTAGCTGACGTGGACGTATGACTGGGTCTGCTCGGAGGAGCGTCACGTGTGCGGAAGTAGGCAATAGTCGATGAATTGACCTTACGTGTTCTATGAATTAACGAGAATGCCACTGGTTAAGCATCATCGGAGGAGGGGCCATAAAGGAGAAAGTGGTAAAGAGGGGACCGAGGCGCGTGAGGCTTTTGTGGGCCTTGTTAACGTGCATGAAACGGCACGCACTTGTCTGCTTGAGACTTGAGAGAGAGCGTCGGCTTTTGTGATTTATTTAACTTTTTTATCATTAAGGCCATCATTTATTAATGTTAATCTTAATGTGCTGATCAGGTCATCATCCGATTTTCGTGAAATATCATTTTTTAGGACAAAACTATCACGATCGAAGTAATTGACTATCTTAGCATTCATAAATCTAACTAGGATTTACCCTATAATGGGTCCATTTTTTTTTTTTGTATGAATCAATTAATGAGTTAGTATATTGAAATGATTCAATGAATGTATTTCTTTGGTAGTTAATATAAAAGTAAAAAAAAATTATATATAAAAGTAAAAAAAAAAATCATCTACGGAAAAAATCCTAGTAATGTTTTAAATTTATAATAATAATCCGTCTTATCATATAATCTCTTTTTATGATAATTAATTTTTTATTTTATTTTTATTATTTATTAAGTTGCAAATTTATAATTTAATATATCGGTTATAATTAAATAAGTCAACTAAATAATCTGAATTAATCATTTCATTACAGTTATTTTGCCAGTTATGTATAAAATATATTAAATTGTTTGATTTTAAAGGAAAAATTCAGAAAATTAGTAGATATTAAGAAATAAAACTAATTCTGCTAGAAATAAAATAATAAAAAATACGAAAATGGCTGTAGGTGGTATTATTCTTGGAGGATATTGGATTTGTTTTTCTTTTTGCTGGGCCTTACATTTTTGTTTCATTTATCCAATTTTTCTTTCCTCTAGTAAAATGAGATGAAACAAGCTCGGCTATTTGACAAAAAAAAAAAAAAAAAAAACAAACAAACTCGGCTTTTCATCTTTTCCACCAGGGGAAAAAAAACCAAGCTTCAAAGTCGATCCCCTCCTCTTTTGATTCTGTGATAATACATGTCGAGATCCAAAAATAATGAAAGGAGGTTTCCATTTGCTGAAGATTCGGATAGAACATAACTACGAAGCGAAAAAGAGAGTTTCAGGTACACATGCTCGTTTCCAAACTTGTTGAGTGATCGAGGTAATTATTCAATTACGAAGACAAATTTCAATGTTTGGTGACAAAAACATGTTTACGAGACAAGAAAAAGTAATCTTCATTCAACTGTAGTAGATCGTTTGGTTATATATGAACGAAGAGATCATAAACAGAAGGAAGATATCTTTTCACAAAGGAAAGAGAAGGAGCTTTTTGATCAAATTCAACAACAAAATCCATACGAAAAATAAATTTAGGTGTGATGGACAAAGAAGGGTTACTTGCTCAAATATCTTTCAAAATTCATAGAATAAACAAAAAGAAAAGCTAAGGTTGAGAGTGAATGGAGTCATCTTCTGGTTCAGTCTCCCTTTCTCCTAAAAGAGCATCCTTCAGTGAGCTTTGCCTTTCCTCCTGTGGGTTGGCAAAGAACAGTCTGGCAGTTTCCACACACCACAACCGTCTGAGAGTGGCTGAACACCGTCGTACTGCACCACACACAAACCCGATCACTTAAGTTATCTCTTAGATATGCAACTAATAACATTTAGGGATTCAGACTTTGCAAATTCTTACATGTTGAAGCAGCCTTGACACTTGACATCCTACATCAACCACATAACATCGAAATGATTATAAATTAAATGGAGTTTACTAATGAGGGAACCAAACTCAAAACTCAATTAATAAGAACAATAAGGTTTAAAGGCTTTCAGCTAATAAAGGAATTAACAAAGACTAATTGTTTACCATGAAAAATGAATTGGGTGACTGAACAAGACGCTTGAGCTTGTGCTTTCTCTTCTCGAGCTCAGCAGGTGGGTTAAGCAGATCAATATCGTTTTGAAGGACCTGAACATTATTCAAAAACTCAGATTTTTTTTTTTTTTTCAGCGCAAAACAATTGATCTCTCACTTGCTATGTAAGAATCAAATCACGCAAATCGCTTAAGACATAAGAATCGCCTTAAGAGAAGGCACGCTCGAAACAATAGGTAACATGAAAACAAAGGAAACATATAAGACTCAACTATGAAATCGACATTAAGGCGTCTATAATGTTCTTAAACAAGAGAATCGAAACGAGAACTAACCATTTTCGTTGGCTTCTTAGAGATTCTGCGACGACAAAACTCAGAGAGTAAAGAATCAGCCGACAAATGCTCTTGGGAAGATGTAAAACCTAATTCGCCTTTTATACATACACTCGAAAGTTAATCCAGAACCCTAAAGCGGCTGAGCCTATTTCCTAGATAATAATATATCTTATTAAAATTATAAAAACAAAGTTGAATAAACAAACGTTGATATGGCCGAGTTGGTCTAAGGCGCCAGATTAAGGTTCTGGTCCGAAAGGGCGTGGGTTCAAATCCCACTTTCAACATTTATTTTTAACTTTATCAACATAAACATTTTGGGCTGAATGATCCATTATACTTAAATTTATTGGGCTCATCTAATGATAGTTTCATACCAATTACTAATTAGCTTTTTTTATTAACCCACTACACAGATTAGTAAATTAATAAGAGTAACTTTAGTTTTTAATCTTTCCAAATTGTTTTTGTTTTCCCTCGTTTCTTTTGATTATAATTATTGAAAAAGTACACCTTTTGCCGCAATTTTTTTAAAATTAATTTGTGCTCATTAAAAATAAAATAAAAAACGATAAATGCATTTTTAGTCACAAGTTTATTCCCCGACTAATCTGACCTTTGAAGTCGGAACGTCGTCGTCTCCTCCTCTCTCTCTCTCTCTCTCTTCTGTAGTAAGTAGTAACACACTCAAACGAATCGCTCCATCTCTTTCGACTCGCCGGAACTTATGTGGAACACCGGCGATTCTGACGATGACGACTTCCAAATCCCTCCTTCCTCACAGCTTTCGATTCGAAAACCTCTTCAACCTGCCAACGCTACCAACATCTCTCACCTCCCTCCGAACAAGAAGCCCAGACTCAGCCGTTATCCGGGAAAGGAGAATGTGACTCCGCCTCCGTCTCCGTCTCCTGAATCTAGCTCCGACCCGTCTGGTAATTATGGTACGGATCTGCTCTACTCCTCTTCCTCCACTCCAGACTGTAGCTTAGATTGTATACCGTCGAGTGTTGATTGCTCTATCGGAGACTTCAGTGCTCCAATTTGTTCCCTCGTTGAAGACGGCCAAGTTTTAGTTGATAAATTGGAAAACGATGACTGTTTTAAGGCGAATCGTGAGGGCTACTTGTGCAATTCCATGGAGGCTAGGTTATCGAAGTCGAGGATTCGTCTTGGGATTGATAGTGGAATCCATGAGGATGAAAGTTTTGTTGAGTCCGACTCTGAGCTTGACGTCTTGTTAAAGCTTTGCTCTGAGTCTGAGGGTAACAGTGGAGAGTGTAGTTTAAGCAAGGATGATTTGATTCAGTGTCCACTGTGTTCGATGGATATTTCAGCTTTGGGTGAAGAGCAGAGGCAAGTTCATACCAATAAGTGTCTTGACAATTCAGATAACCATGCTCCTGAGCAACTGCAAGTAAGTAAGCTTCTTCGTTATCTCATAAACTGGAATTGATATCAACCTTCAATTTAACTCTCACAGAGATTTTGCTGATACACGTTTTGGTTACTTGTGCAATGAAACTACATCTTAACATATCCCCCCAAAAAAATGTAGGAGTTTTGTTTGTTCAGTTGTTTCTTCATTAAGCCATTGATTGACTGCTGACTTGTAAATATGATTGTAGGACTCTCTGAAGAAATGTGATAAGTCATCTTCTCTTATTGAAGAATCTATTGATGATCCAGTTCAGCTTCCCCAGCTAGTTACTGACCTGTCTCCAGTGCTTAAATGGCTTCGGAGTCTAGGTTTAGCTAAATATGAAGATGTTTTTATTCGCGAAGAGATCGACTGGGATACCCTTCATTCACTCACTGAGGAGGTAATGGATTACAATTACTTTATGAAACAAATTTTTTATCATAATCTTTCACCAAACTGAGGAAAATACGATTTTTTTTTCTTTATGTGCATTTTATGCATAGCTTGTTTACACATAGAAACATGATTGAGAATTGACAAGCTTATTATTCCACAGGATCTTCTAAGCATAGGTATCACATCACTTGGTCCCAGAAAGAAGATTGTGAATGCACTTAGTGGACTTAGAGAAGTAGATGCGTCTTCAGCTGAAGAAGCACAGGCGCAGCGTCATTGTACAAGTTCCCATATTACAGGGAGACATGAGGACAAGACAACCAATCGTAAGGCAAGTGTGCCCAAAAAACCAACTGCAAATAAGTTGATTACAGAATTTTTCCCTGGTCAAGCTACCGAGGGCACAAAGATTCGGAAGGCCCCTAAAGATCCTGTGGCAGAAAAGAGTCCACCAGATTCGAGCTCAAGACGTGCTGTGAGAAGAAATGGCAACAATGGAAAATCTAAAGTCATTCCACGGTGGAATTGCATTCCGGGGACACCTTTTCGAGTGGTAATTCTTCATAACAAGCCAGGCCATAGTTTTACTTCTTCGTCAAAGTTATATCCCATGATTGCAACCTTGTTACATATTTCTCCTTCTCATGCAAGTCAAATATGCTCATGAAATTAGTTCCTGCTGATGCTGAATATTTATGTTTGGTGATTCTCTGGTTAAATATATGTATGCAGGACGCATTCAAATACCTAACACGTGAATGTTCCCACTGGTTTCTTACACACTTTCACCTTGATCGTAAGTAGTCTGCTGTATGTCTAATTATAAATTTATACTAAAGCATGCATATCATGGAATCAATTCTTAAAGTCTCTGGATCCTCATTTACAGATTATCAAGGTCTGACAAAGTCATTTAATCATGGGAAGATATACTGTTCCCTAGTTACCGCGAAGTTGGTAAATATGAAGATTGGGATCCCATGGGAGAGACTACATGTCCTGGACCTTGGCCAGAAAGTTAACATTGCAGGCATTGATGTGACCTGCTTTGATGCAAACCATTGTCCGGGATCCATCATTATGCTCTTTGAACCAGCCAACGGTAAGGTGCGTTCTTAAATAAGACATTTCTAGTGTGTAGTCATAAGCGTATGTTTAACTTACCATGCACAACGTAATTGTCCATGGACTCTGTTAATTTGTATAGGCTGTTCTACATACGGGTGATTTCCGCTATAGTGAAGAGATGTCAAATTGGTTGATTGGATCGCATATCAGCTCTCTTATTCTTGATACTACATACTGTAACCCCCAGGTTCGTCTTTCATCAAGATTTTGTAGCATAAGAAATCTCAAGTTTTTCAGTAAATACTCGGTTTACATTAGTATTTGAAATCCTGTTTTGCCACAAGTTTTTTTTTTGCGTGATTCCATTTTTTGTAATTTCTTCATATTACATTTAGAGTGAACAAATAATAGAACTTCATTGATCTAAGAATTTACGTTTTCTTTCAAATAAGAGTTGTTTGATATATATGTCATAATTTGTTGCAGTATGACTTTCCAAAGCAAGAGGCGGTAATACAGTTTGTTGTTGAGGCTATTCAAGCAGAAGCATTTAATCCCAAGGCCCTTTTCTTAATTGGAAGCTACACCATTGGTAATATGTTCACTCTTCTCATGCTTTTCGATATATCATGTTGAGATCTAAATTTTCCATCTCTTCTCTTTTAAAAGGGAAAGAGAGGCTGTTCTTGGAAGTTGCACGTGTGCTACGGGAAAAGATATACATCAATCCCTCAAAACTAAAACTCCTCGAGTGCTTGGGATTCTCAAAGGAAGATATGCAGTGGTTTACAGTGAAGGAAGAGGAGAGCCACATTCATGTTGTGCCCTTGTGGACGCTTGCCAGTTTCAAACGGATGAAGCATATAGCTAACCGATACACAGTAAGAAACACATCCATTTGGTTTGACTGTCAAAGAAAAACAAAACATATGATTTTCTTTTTGGCTGATTCGTGAGAGGATGAGTTCTAATGCTTTTTAGTCCTGCAGAACCGTTACAGCCTTATTGTTGCATTTTCTCCAACTGGTTGGACATCTGGGAAGACTAAAAAGAAGTCCCCAGGAAGAAGGTTGCAACAGGGTACAATAATAAGGTAAAATTTGCCTATATTCATGTCCTGTGGCATTGAGCTCAAATTCATGAGCCAGAGAATCTTTTCATATTTTTCAGGTACGAGGTTCCTTACAGTGAGCATAGCAGCTTCACGGAGCTAAAAGAGTTTGTGCAAAAAGTGTCGCCTGAAGTTATCATACCGAGTGTTAACAACGAAGGACCCGACTCTGCAGCTGCAATGGTGTCTTTGTTGGTTTCGTAGAACTGTGTTTTACATCTGCGACAAGCTCAAGTTTGCATAAAAGGCAGCCTCCTTGGCTACCAATTGAGCAGAGGCAGAGCCGTCAAAGGTCTAGAGCAAAAATTGAAATATCATGTTCTATCTAATTGTAGTTATGTAACCACATATTATGTTGTGTTTTTCTTTTTCTTCACGGACTCCAAATGTAATTGTTAAATCAACTTCTTTGTTTTTTACTTGTTTCCTCAAAAAACTAAAATTATGCTTTACACTACAGGGCTTACTTAACAAGCATTCTATTATGAAAAAGCCTTCCAAATTTCACAATTTCCATTGTCAATCAAACCTGTGTACCAGAGCCCGGTCTGTCAAGAGGAATGTCAGCAGTACGACCATAGCCAATACCAGAAGATTCCAGAGGCAAAGGTGATAGTCTGCAAAGCAACAGGAACACTCCAATGATTCCAAAAGAAACTAAAAACAATCATTACACAACCAAAACGGTTTCTAGAATCAAAGACGACTAGCCATTGTTATAAGAATGAAAAAAGATATTACCAAGTACCAATTCTGGGATAAATGTTGTGAAAATTTTGTATATGGTATCACATATATATGCAATGAAACCTGTTTATTCTTCAAACCATCAACGAGAGATAATAAATCATTGTTAGAATACATACACACACATACCTCTTTCACAGAGTCCAAAAGAAACATGCTCCTCAGCTGTTGATGTTCTTCTCACCTACAATCAAAACCATCAACGCTATCAAGAAAAAAATCGGCAAGAGTCAAACTAAAGGTCACAGTAGATATTATCAATTCAGTGAATAAATGTTTTGGTGTCTCAAAAAAGACCCCATTATCTCCTTTAGACCTTTACTTTCAAATATCTGGGTGATTTGATGTGATATCAAGTTAGAGTGAGAGAGATAAATGAATTAGGTAGTCGTATAAACTTATAAACTTCAGTATTACCTTTTCGTATTTGAACTTTGGTGCATTCTTCTTGCTCAAGTTCTGCAGTAGTAAGATGAGCTCTTCGCATTTTTTGGAACAGGGCTCCTCGGTTCAGTAAGGTGAGGCATGCAATCATTGTTCTGCGTACAAGGAAAACAGAGGCATGTCAGATGGCGTGAAATCATGTTCCATGCACACATACAAATTTGTCGAGGGTGAACCTATTGAAGATGTTTCATGCATGCTGGTTAGCCTTTTCCATTGTTTGAAGATGTAGGTGCTGCAACAGTAAGAGAATGAGATCCTACGTACTGAGTGACTGAGTGATTGTGTTGATGACTGAAGCAAAACCTTGAGCGGTCTGAATCTTCTACAGTCTTCCGATCTGCACATATATAAAATGAGAAACCATTAAAATAAAGGATTATAATTGGTTGCACTGAAAATAAACCAAAAAGGAAAAAAGAAGATTACAAAGTGGTTGAGTAAACTTGAAACAGAACAAAGTAAAGAGAGGAAGACCATTTTTCCAACGGAAGAAAGGGAACCATATATTATTATCTCCATCTAGAGTAGCTACCAACACCAAAATAAAAAAATAAAAAAAAAGATATCAGTATCTCTATCAAAACTAAATTGTGTAACAAAGAATAAACTTTTTAAAGGGAATAAGACTCACACTTACGGATGGGGAATTTGAAGTGGACAAGGAGGAAGACGTATTGTATAGAGTCAAAGATGTTCAATCACAACAAAATTAGTTTCATGTTGTTACACTGTGAGCACGCCCGTCGGCCAAGTTTTTTCTTCTCCCCGATCAGAAGAACCATGGTTCGTTTTTGATGTCTGAAAATAACAACCTAAATGCCACTCGTATATATAATTCTTAAAATCCAAGTGAAAAGAAGCTTCATACCTGCTGCTTAGACGACTTGTTTAATCCCGAGTCTTCTTCAAAACATCTCTGATCTACACATATAGAAAAAATAAGAAGAAACCATAGTCAATTTTCAAGTCTGAATTAAACAACAACCTAGAGGAGGAAACCAGGAAAACAAACCCTAAAATCCCCCAAGTCTGAAACGTCATTCATTCTTCAAACCATCTCCCCGATCTGCACATAGAGAATTAGAAGAAGAACCATCGTTATTTTGTAAGAGTCAAAGTGAAAACCCTACAAATAAAAAACCAAGAATTTTGAAACCTTTAAAATCAGGTGAAGAAACGCCATGGAAACAACCGTCCTCCTCCTCCTCCTGCGATCATCCATCACTTGCGCCATATCCTGCTAATTCATCAACGATCCTCTGAGAGTAAGAAGACAAGAGAAGAGACGGTGATGTACGTTTTATCATTCAAACAAATCTAACACGAAATTCTACTTACAAGGAGAGGATTTTCACCGTTGTTGTTTGAGCAATCATCCTCCCAAATTCTGTTCCGACTCTTTCTTTATCCTTCAGCAATCATCATCAACGAGAGAGAGAGAGACACTAATGCGGGAGAGTCAATCAACACCATCAGAGAGAACGCTCTCTCTTGTTTTTATTTTTTCTATTTCGTCAACACTGAAGAATAGTGTGTGTTGTTGATTTCTCAAAGAGATGTTGAAAGTGTGCTCTATTTATAAACATCTGTGTTCTCAAAAATATGGAAATTTGTTTTTATATACGTTGTAAGAAAAACGGAAATTACTAAATCTTAAAAAATGGAAATTTACTTTTTAACCTTAACAGAAAAAGGAAATTCTTTTTGATATACGTTATCTGTAGGTTATATATGGAAATTTATTTTTATATACGTTATAAGAAAAAAAGGAAATTACTAAATTATATATGTTAGGTTTTTTTGTTTGTTAGTCCTGAACTCCTGATGTGTCATCTGTTTGGGTTGCGTTGACGGAGGAGTCAACGCCACTGACGATAAGGGTTTCAGTTAACTAAAAAAAGTAATTGTGTGAACAACAGAAGCAATTAAAATTCTTAAAAGTCAGGGTCCCAAAGTAAAATTATATCACCAAGCATAAGTCCCATTCTCTAAGAACCAATCCCAATTTTGCTATGCATTAGCTTCATTGCTCGATCTGCCTTCCCCACTTTACTCAAAGCATTGATCATCACAGTCCCTGCCACTTCTCTTCCTCTCTCTGTTTATCCCGTCAGCCAAATTTACATGCCTCTTTATCCGACCTACTTTACACAGTCTACTTCTCATTTCAAGTATATCTGACACGCTGCATCAAGTATATCACACCCATTGGGTACAATAATAAGGTAAAATCTGCCTATCTCACCAAAAGTCATAGAATTGTTGATTTGCTGCAATTCAATAAGAAAAATAGAAAACAGATATGTAGATTCGCATTGAGTATCTGTTGGAAAAAAGATAGATAAATCCTCTAATATCAAGCTTCAAGTAAACAAATACATTAGATTCGAGTAGTCGTAGAGATTACAAACACAAAAGTATAAAAATTTGTTACAAAATTTCTGGAAAGGAAAAGCTCTCGTGATAGAGATCTGTTTATCCACCATGCAAAGTAGAAATGAAAACTATAACATCTTTCTCTTCGATTCTGGTATCGAGCTGACCGCTAAGCTCCCAATCACAGTCGTTCACAAGCACAAGAACCCCAGGTCTCCTGCACAACAACAATTGATAACACCATTCTTTAACAATTTAAGCCTTGATTGAGCTTCATGATAAGAGAAGAAAATTAGCCTTACACAGTATCTCCTTTCATGAACATTTCAGGTCTCTCTTTGATCAGATTTGTACGAACCCAAGAAAGCAAGTGCTTCATAGTAAACTAATCCAAACGGTGAGGGAATGAGTAGAGGAAAAATACAAGCTTTTATATAAATCAATCATAACCCAAAACTCAAGAATTCAAGCTTACATCATCTGCTTCTGTTCCATTGGGCAAATCGACGTTTACTTTATGGATCTTTTCAGAATCACAGAGCAGCTCTAGCCCACCCCTACATATAAAAATCAATCATTCAAACTTCAGCTCTACAATAAAAGCAATCAGATCAAATCCAAAATCAGAGACAGTGATAATCTCACCCAAATTCGAGAGTTAATTGCATCGTCGTCGAGGTTTGCAGGAATCAAAATTCAAACCCGATGTCTTCTAGGGTTTTACGTCTTTCAATCAGATAGATAGTTCGTGTAGCGTTTTCGCTCTTTCCTAAACGACGTTCGTTTAGGGATCTTGTTGGGCTCTTTCATTGGGCCTATTTTATATTACTAGATAAGGCTTATTACTTTTCCCAATGAGTGATCACGTTAAAAATATCTCATCGCATCTTCACCGTTGATTTATACGAACTGTAGCGTATCAGTGGACAAGATTGAGTCCTAGTTTTTTAACTAGAAAATAGATGGTGCCTGATATTTATCCCCAGCGACCGGCGAAATTGCAACCAAGAGAAAGAAGAAGAGAACTAAATCAGAGATTTAAAACGTGGATGGAATTTATTTTTCTCGTTTCTCAATTTCTTCTGTAAACTAGAATTAAGTTTTGTTTCGCTATCTGAAGCTCCATGGAAGCTTATAAGCAATGGGTTTGGAGAAATAGAGAGTATGTACATTCCTTGGGATCCCTTGCCAACGTAAGATTCATTCTTTTACTCTTCTCCTTAATCCTTTTTTTTTCTGTTATGTTCTGATTCTCTGTCGATTAGAGTTTTGTTTTTGTTTTCTCGTTAATGTCAATTTCAGAGTTTTCATCGTCTGGCTTTGTTTGAATTTTTGCTGGGGGAGTGTGGTGTTAATATAACAGTGGAATTTGAGATCGATCGAGGCGTTTCTTTGTATTGGGTTTAAGGATGAAACCTTTTTCTTAAAGTTTCAGACTTGGATTAGCTCATTTGATCATTTTCTTAAAGTTTAAGTCTTGGATTAGCTCATTTGGTTGCTTACCGTATCGTGAGAAGCTTTGTAGTTGTGAAATTCACCAGCTTGATAATTCGTCAAGTATGTTTATTTTTCGTTGCAGGGATTGACATGGCTGCTTCCTGAGAAGTTTTCTGCTTCAGAGATTGGACCAGAAGCAGGTTTTGTGATACTTTGGTAACATTTTACTGCTTTCATTCTTAGATTAAACTATTTCCTCTATCCCTCTGTTAGCTCCTAGAGTCTCTTGCTGGGGTGGAACACTGTCCTATACTTAGATTTAGCGGTTCTCAAATCGCATACTTCATTTGTACCTCTATGTTTAGTTTCCTAAGTCTTTAACATTAGAACACTCTCCTATTTCTTTCTTTCTTTTGAGTATGTCTTTTGTACTTTTGAATATGTATGTGTGATGAGAGTTTTGGTCATCTTTTTTGTAGTAACGGCTTTTTTGGGCATATTCACAACTATCAATGAACACATAATTGAAAATGCTCCAACACCTCGTGGTCATGTTGGACCTTCCGGGACTGATCCATCCCTTTCTTATCCGCTACTCGTCGCCATCCTTAAGGACTTGGAAACTGTTGTGGAAGTGGCGGCTGAACACTTTTATGGAGACAAGAAATGGAATTTCATTATTGTCACTGAAGCTATGAAGTAAGTTTGCTTTCTTCTGATCACTTAGATTCATACAACATGCTTAGTTGACATTTTGATATCTTGAAATGTGTTAGCCTCTGATTAGGTTAGCCTTGTTTCAGGTCTCTGATTAGGTTAGCCTTGTTCCGTAATAGCGGTTATAAGATGCTTCTTCAAGGAGGGGAAACACCTAACGATGAGAAAGATTCTGACCAAACAGAGTCGCAAAATAGAGCTGGTAATTCAGATAGGAATCATGGACCTCATAGTTTCATAAACCAAAATCATCATAATCCATGGAACTTGGAAGGACGAGCGATGTCAGCTTTAAGTTCATTTGGTCAGAATGCAAGAACTGGAACAACAACAACAACAACAACATCTACCTCAGGTTGGTCTCCAAGGGTTCAACATCAGCAAGCAGCTATAGAGCCTCCAATGATCAAGGAGAAGCGAAAAACGCTGTCCGATCTTTTATCTGAGAAGGGTGTTAATGGAGCGTTGTTTGCAATGGGTGAGGTTCTTTTCATAACAAGACCGCTCATATACGTTCTTTTCATCAGAAAATACGGAATCCGGTCTTGGATTCCCTGGGCTATTTCTCTTTCCGTGGACACACTGGGAATGGGAATTCTTGCAAATTCAAAGTGGTGGGGGGAGAAGAGGAAGCAAATTCATTTCTCGGGACCTGAAAAGGATGAGGTTAGAAATTTCTCAGACTCAATCACAGTAATGTTGAACCGGTTTCACTGATATATCTTGTTTTCAAATTTAGCTTAGGAGACGGAAGCTGCTCTGGGCATTGTACCTCATGAGGGATCCATTCTTCACCAAGTACACAAGGTGAGTGTTCTGAGTCCCATTTCTTTAGCTAGGGGTGTCTAATCAGTTTTTCGGTTCGGTTTTTAGTTAAGGGATGTTATTACTTTGGGTTTCAGTTATGACTTGTTCTGAATTGGCAAAAAGATGAAACCGAATTGGTTTATATCCTCCTCATGGCTGTTATGTCTGTACATTTAGCTTTGGTCAATATTAGATGGGGGATCACTAGGTTTAGGCTTATAGCTTAAGCTATCTCAATTAAATAATAAACGGATATGGTTGGGTGGGGATTGCAGGCAAAAGCTGGAAAGCACTCAAAAGATGCTGGAACCAGTTCCGTTGATCGGATTCCTCACAGGTATACTTTTAAAAACTTTCATGTCTGTCACAAGATGAGTGATTCTCGTGTTAACATGCATTGACTGACTCAGTCTATTTTGGTGGTTCTGTCTGCAGAGAAAATTGTGGAGCTTTTGGAGGGAGCTCAGTCACGGTACACTTACATATCGGGATCCTGAGGTTGACCGACCATTACTTTATTGTTTTTGCAACGGACGAAAAAGAAGATGGCCATTGTTGGGAATACGTAGAGGAAGTGTTTCAGGCTTTGTAAGAAATTTGCATTTATTGCAGTTTAGGACATGATTACAGTGTTATGCGTCTATGTCTAAAGAAGGGACCTATACAATAATAGCGTTTTCATCCGAGAGAATGTTTAGTCGGGGTATAAGTAAAACGGACCATTTCGTTCCTAGTGTTACCTAAAAACACAAAACCTCAAACTAACAACAATTCAGCGTGAATTATTAAATGCTGACGTAGTGCTGATAATGTTATATGCTGTGCTGTGCGATGGTATGCCAAAGTTGGTGGCTATCAAAATGACAACGTTATCCCTCGGTGGGTAGGCCCTCCCGAATCTGTTATCCCCGGCCCAATATGTAGTAAGTATTGTGGATCCTACTTGGGGATAACCAGCTAAACCGGTCTTTCATTCGAAATCGAGTCTCGGTTTACTTTTCTAAACGGATCCGTTTTATTTTTGTCATTAATATGTAGGGTGAGCCACAAGGGAGTGGTAGGGTCCAGTAGTCGGGCCTAGCTAAGGGCAACATTATTGGTGGGATCTTAGAGGCTAAGATCCCCCAGTTTTTACAAAGAAAAGATCTTATATAAGATCTTTCCTTTGCAAAAACCGAGGGATCTTAGCCTCTAAGATCCCATTGATAATGTTGGTCTAAACCCCTCAGCAATGTGTGTGGTGTGACCGGCACTGGAGGGTAGGGTCCAGCTCAGGCCCACTTACACTTCGTTATCGTTTTGTAGCCCTTTCTTTTCTGGAGGTGGGTCCCTCTTTCTCTGGTCGGTCCTATGTAAATGTAATGTACTGTAGTAGTAAACTAAATAGCCTAGTGGTTCATACCCGTTCCCGGTTTAATTGGACGAATCAAAATTAGGTTGAATCGGTTACAATCTAGTGGAACTGAGAATTAAACCGATTGCTTTGATCCGATTTATCCAAGTATGCGTATACATGTCGTGTGAGCGGTTTAGTTAAAAAAGGACGAGATAGGATTTTGGAATCCAGGAAAGGATTATTCCATTGACACTAATTTAGCTTCTTTTTAGTTTGGGTGGCGCAGCCTTGTGACCTACATAAATGGGGTCCAACCTCATGTATGGGCTTACACCTTTCTTTTTTCTTCCAAAAAGATTATCTTTATTTCTTCCTACCCAATAATATTATTATTTAAAAGTCTTTTTCAACCATTTCAAAAAAAAAAAATCAGAACTTTGACGGCTTTACCAACACTATTATTGGCGATAAATAAATTTTGTAGCAAGCTAGGTGATTCATTTGGTAGAGTTGTACTAGTAATCCACTTAACATGAGTTGCATATTTTTAGATTTGAAGCTTCTCTTCAGGTTAAAAACCAAATATTTTTATTATTTACTAAACAGTTAAAAAAATAAAACTTTTATGAATAAAGTTTTACTGGACCCCATAGTCCTGATGGTCCCATGACAATTGAACTGATGATATATGTATAATACGAAGAAGATAGAGAAATGGAACCGGATTAGTCCACGTGGTAACATCCGTTTATTTTTTCCCGCATCAAAAAGCGTTCAATACTCCATTACTACTATTCCTTCTCACTTGTTCTCTCTCTCTCTCTCTAATCTCTCTTTATAATCATAAGAGAGACGACGACGACGCACATTTACTAATCTCCTTTGACGTGTAACGCCGTTTAAACCATTCTTTCCTACTGCTTCCGCTTTCTCGTCGTCATCCCCACCGTCCGTTTATATTTTTAATGGCGACGATTCAGAAGCAAGAAGAAGTTGGAGTCCAAGATCAAAGCCTAAGACCCGTTGATCTCATCAACGGCATCAGAAACGTCGAGACTTCAAGACCTTTCCAAGTAAACCCTACAGTGAGCCTCGGACCCAAGCCGGAGCCGGTGATGCATATGCAAGCTCCACCTTCGATTTCGATGTCTTTGGCTCCACCTTCTTCCACGGGACCGCCATTGAAGAGAGCTTCCACTAAAGACCGTCACACCAAGGTCGAAGGAAGAGGCAGAAGGATACGGATGCCTGCCACGTGCGCCGCTAGAATTTTTCAACTGACACGAGAGTTAGGTCACAAGTCCGACGGGGAGACGATCCGTTGGTTGCTGGAGAACGCAGAGCCGGCGATTATCGCCGCCACGGGTACGGGAACGGTTCCCGCCATCGCTATGTCGGTTAACGGCACCCTAAAAATCCCGACGACGACGAACGCTGATCCTGACTCCGGTGACAACCCGATGAAGAAGAAACGTAAACGACCTTCCAACAGTGAGTATATTGACATAAACGACGCCGTTACATCTTCCTCCGGTTTGGCTCCCATTACCACCCCGACGACGACGACGACGATCCAACAACTTCCTGCACCGTCCACCGTGGCTCAGCAACATCTGTATCCGATGTGGGCGATTCCATCAAACGCAGTGATTCCGACGGTGGGAGCTTTCTTCTTGGTTCCACAAATGGCTGGTCAGTCGAATCAGCCTCAGCTATTAGCATTTCCGGCAGCTGCTTCGCCGTCTTCTTACGTGGCGGCTGTTCAGCAGGCATCGTCGATGGCTAGACCGCCACCGTCTCATCAAGTTTACCCTGGCAGCGGCGTTTCAGACATAAGCGGTTCGAATTCCTCAAGAACGACGTCGGTGATGGCACCGAGCTCAAGCTCCGGAACAACAACAGGGGGTTCATCGTCTGGTGCAAGAACAGCGACGCACACGCTGAGAGACTTCTCGCTAGAGATATACGAGAAACAAGAGCTTCACCAGTTCATGAGCAGCACAACAACAAGGTCATCGAACCACTGAAGAGAAAAAAGAGAGGAAACGACGGCGTTCAAGCAATCGGGGGAAAGGCACGTGGGCACGTGAAGAAGCGCACGTGTTAAGTGGACCTAGAATTTAGGCAAGATGTAGGGGCCATGTCGTTGGTGGGTCAACACGCACCAAAAAGAAAGCAGAGAGTGGCCAAAGGGGCCACACGGCTCCCAGCTTAAAAAGCATCCTCCCGAAACGTTTTGGTGGGGGCTCACCACTTTGTCCTTTCTTTTTTGGTCTTTGTAATTTACACACACATTTAAAAAAAAAAAAAAAGATTAATTTATTGAAGCCCTCACTTACTTGAGTCATGGTCCACTCAACAACAATTGTGATATTGATGTTTTTTTTTTTTTTAATTTGCATAATCTTTTTTGATTTTAGATGATTCGATTTTATTAGTATGTTATAGAAAATAAAACTTTTGATAAAAAAAATCTCGACCGTGGCGGGACCTAGAAGAGTAGCTTTGATTGTACCGCTAATACGGCTTCGTTTCGTGGGGACTGAAACTTTCCCACTCGAGTTGGTCACCACCACTCACTCCCTCCTCAGTCCTCTCACCACCACAACGCTTAAAGGAACAGCCTGGCGTGGGTCATACTTGTGTCCATCTTATCTCTACCGTTCATTTCTTTCACCTTCTCCTACCCGTTGATTCTTTTCTTTTTGTCACGGTCTCAATGCCATAGATGATGATTTTTCTACTCTATAAGATTAACTCCAAAAATGCAAGTAAAATGTTAGACGCAATGTTACGGAATTATATTGTTGGAGGGCCCTAAAACCAACTTGGTGGATGGGTGGGGGAAAGATCCAGAAAGTGTTGGCTATGGGTGTCCACGTGGACTTGAACAATAGACTTGTCGCTCTCTTCTTTTACTTTCAGTGCACCTCTTCATTTTTGTTTTACCTTTTCTTTTGCCTCTATTTATTTATTTCTAACCAAAAAACAAAAAAAAAAGAGAGAGGAAAACCTCTTGCTTTCATGTCATAAAAGAATTAAGCCCAAAAATAACAAATATGTGGTTACATAGGTCCAAACTATTTAAGGCCCATTAATTTGTGGGTTCTCGAAGTACTCTAACAACCCAAAAAAGGCTTACGCTTAGTGGATATTTTGCGACCAAAACTCAACGGTTTGCTTTTCTTTGTTGGAGTTGATGAGTTATCCAAAGAGGGAGGAAATAGTAAGCTCACCTGTGCCTCAATGTCTCCAAACATCTGTAGAGTATTTCGAGATAAAAAAAATAAAAGAAGAGTTATTCATAAGGCTGGACAAGAGACAAGAGAGAATCTCGAAAGCTGAAATCGAGTTTGGTAATAGGTAATGCAACAGTTTTTTTAAGAAGGTTACTATATGGTTAGATGAAGGAGAAGAAGATGTGTGTAGCAGCGTCCTTGAACAAATTCTCACGTTTAGAAAGTGCTCTTTTGTGTTCAAATAAAGAAAATAAACTGTTCTTTACTAGAAGTGAAGATGGGTCGAGTTACTCGAGTACAAACGCAAGTTAGGGTAGGTTGATGAATTTGTACCTAAGCCATTACTTGACTCGATCCCTTTGTTTGAGGGTGCAATTGCAATTTTTGATTTTTCTTTAATTATTATTACGCACTCTAGTGTCCATTACTGTAGTCTCTACTATCTAATTCACAGTGAAAAAAATACCCCCCCTTCCCCCCCCCCCTCTCCCCCCAAAAGAAAAAAGTCTTGGCGTATTATCGTTTGCACGCACTTCCAAAGTCAATGATTTGGTCCATTTGGACAAGTGCTTTATTAATTACTGGTATGTCGACCAACAATGTCAATTACGCGATGGACAACGATTTAAACTACCGAAACTGTGGATATTAGCTATTTTTTAAAAAGATTTGGATACTATCTCCACATTTCCACAATAACAACCCTCAAAAAACAACATCCAAAAGGGAAAATCATATTTTTTGTGTTTTTCATATGTAACAAGAAAAAAAAAAATGGCGAAAATGGTATTAGTATGTTTTAATTCGGATACAAAATTTCTGACACAAAATGTTTTTGTTGACAAAAAGAAATAAAATGTCTGAGCAAAAATGTTTTCAGAGAATTTACAGGTGTGTTAAAAGTTTAGTAGGAAATCAAATAAATATATTACTATACTTTATCCGATAGTTGTTAATTTAATATATATTGCCATTTGAGATTAGTTATTAATATGACAAGTGCCATGCCGAATCCATGTGCAATCATAATATCCTTTATGTAAAATAATTACCTGTTCGCCGTTGACGAAAATACATTATCGTGCCCCCTTGTAATTTCAATATATGATGAGAAAAGTTGTTAAAAAAAAAAAGTATATGATGAGCATAATTTTTATTTACTAAACTACAGCCTGCAATAATAAAACCCAGTGGTTCGTTCTCGAGTTTTCGTTAAGTTAATAATTAGCTCTATAAATGTCCCATATACAAATTCTAACAATTGGAAAAGAAACACTCAAAAAGATATCAAAATTGTTGAAGAGATATATAATTTACAGGCGATAATTATTTATTTTTAAGTTTTTTTAAGTTTAACAGAAAAATAAAATAAAAGGATAGTAGAAAGAAAGAAAACAAATAACATTCCACCACAGAGCAAAGCGTGTATCAATCTCTCCCGCTCTGTCTGTCTCTCTCTCTCTCTATCTTTCCTCCATCTCTCTGTGTTCTTCTTACAGACACCGAGAATGGCGGATCCTGATTTGTCGTCTCCGCTGATCCAGCACCAACTATCCGATCAACCAGAGGTTGTTATCTCAATCGGCGGCGACGACGACAACGACTCCAGCTCAGGACTTGATCTCCCCTCCGTTGTTGACCCTCGTGTTTCACGTGGTTTCGAGTTTGACCATCGTACTAGTCCTTACGGGTTCCTCAGCGAGTCCGAGCCTCCTGTTCTTGGTCCGACCACGGTGGATCCATTCCGGAACAATACTCCTGGTGTTTTCGGATTGTACGAAGCGATTAAGATCGTGATTTGTCTCCCGATTGCTTTGGTCAGGCTTGTTCTCTTTGGTGCTAGCTTAGCTGTTGGTTACCTGGCTACCAAATTGGCTCTTGCTGGCTGGAAAGATAAAGAGAACCCTATGCCTCTTTGGCGATGCAGAATCATGTGGATTACTCGGATCTGTACTAGATGTATCCTCTTCTCTTTCGGGTCAGTTGTTTTCCACTTTCTCTATAATTTACGCCAAGTTTGTGTTTTTTTTTAGTCGTAGATTCAAAAGTTACTCTGTATTCAATAAGATTGGAGGAATGGTCAGTTTGGTTTCAAAAGGTGTTATATCGTTTGTTTGGTGGTGTTGCTTGCCATGGCTATTTTCTCCAATGTTCATAATCTTGTTTTCTCCTGCAGTTATCAGTGGATAAGACGGAAAGGGAAACCTGCACGCAGGGAGATTGCTCCTATCGTTGTATCAAACCATGTTTCTTATATTGAACCAATCTTCTACTTCTATGAATTATCACCGACCATTGTTGCATCTGAGTCACATGATTCACTTCCGTTTGTTGGAACTATTATCAGGGCAATGCAGGTAGGCAGCTTGCACTCTCATATTCAGTGTTTTCTTAGCGAATTTTATCAGGACATATTGGTTTAAGATGCTGTTCTCTATTTTACAGATTCAGGTTTTTTCAAGTTTTCTTTTTTGTACTCTGTAGGTGATATACGTGAATAGATTCTCACAGGCATCAAGGAAGAACGCCGTGCATGAAATAAAGGTATAGAGTTTCTGTGACATTTGACATGAATTTGATTTCTATTGTGTGTTTTTTTTATTACTGAGTAACTCTATCAAAGAAGTGATTGTTGTGTACACCATTTTCATGAATTGTGAACTTTTTGTGGTTGAAAAGGATTCAAATGGTTTTTTTGTATTTGATACGGAATGTGCTTTCAAGGATGTAAATACAGAGAAAAGCTTCCTGCGATAGATTTCCTCGTCTCCTGTTATTCCCGGAAGGAACCACAACTAATGGCAAAGTTCTTATTTCCTTCCAACTTGGCGCTTTCATCCCTGGTTATCCAATTCAACCTGTAGTCGTCCGGTATCCCCATGTACATTTTGATCAATCCTGGTGAGACTCGTTCATTTTTTTCCGCAATTTACCCTTCTCTACAAAATAGACTGCCTCCTTACTGCATTTTATGAGACTTTCAGGGGAAATATTTCTTTGTTGATGCTCATGTTTAGAATGTTCACCCAGTTTCACAATTTCATGGAGGTAGGCAATGTGCATATCGCGTAAGATTAGTTGATTTATCGTCTGGTTTTAGATTTTGACGTATTTGGATAAACATTTTTTGAAATTAAACAGGTTGAATACCTTCCAGTAATCTATCCCAATGAAAAGCAAAAACAGAATGCTGTGCGTCTCTCACACAAGGTGAGTGTTGGTGGAGATTATTTTTTCTACATTCTTTGCTTCTTTTATGGTGAAAAATAGTCCTCATGGTGTACTTATGAATACAGACCAGTCATGCAATTGCAACATCTTTGAATGTCGTCCAAACATCCCATTCATATGCGGACTTGATGCTACTCAACAAAGCGACTGAGCTAAAGCTGGTATGTGCAGCTCATGATTGGTTTCACTCTCTTTGATACCTTTCCATGTTCTCTCTTATCTATATCTCGCCACAAGTCATGTATTCCACGGAAGCTTGATAATAACTGCCCGTGTCATGAAGCAGTTCTTGTAGCTGACCATTTATTTCATCGTTTAATGTTCTGTTGCAGGAGAACCCTTCAAATTACATGGTTGAAATGGCAAGAGTTGAGTCGGTAAGTTTATCATCTAGCACCACAAGTTTGTTGCTTACATAGAGTAGAACCATATCTTTCATTATGGCTTTTGTAGGGTACATAAAAGTGCAGATAAATATGTCCAACCTCACTATTTTGGTAGTGTCCTGTATATATGTTCACTGAATGTCCCTATTTTTTTCTCCCTAGTAATTGTGTTGCTCTGTCTTTTGTCCTTTCCAGCTTTTCCATATAAGCAGCTTAGAGGCAACACGATTTTTGGATACATTTGTTTCCATGAATCCGGACTCGAGGTAATGACTCTTCTCAGTAACTAAAAAAGTGATATTATTATCTCTTTCCGCGTTCCAGAGCTTGAAATATCAGATATCTCTACAACCTCAAGAATTTTTTCCATTTTGCAGTGGACGTGTTAGGCTACATGACTTTCTTTGGGGTCTTAGACTGAAGCCTTCTACTCTCTCTAAAAGGGTTAGTGGAGATAATAAATAAAAGAAATTGCCTTCTTTATGTGTCAATATGGTTGTGCTCTTATCATCCGT